CGAGCCGACCCGACTTTAATCACCACAAGTATCATATATTATGTATAAGTATATACCCATGACCACCTCCCAAGTGATCACCGCCCGATAGTATAGCATGGCAGACAGACAAGAATGTAGGGCCGCTGATGGTAAACTAGCATCCTATACTAAGCATTTAGGATTGCAGGTAAGGTATCAACAGCTGGAGCAACAATGACAGGCTATGCATCAGAATAGGATTAACGGAAAGCAGTAACATGCTACACTACTCTAATGCAAGCAGTAGAGAGAAGAGTAGGCGATATCTGGTGATCAAAGGGGGGGCTTGCCTGGTTGCTCTGGCAAGAGAGAGGGGTCGTCAACACCGTAGTCGTACTGGGTAGCAGCGGCATCGGTCTCGATGTCTAGCGAGAGAAGAGGGGGAAGAAATAATAAATATAATGCAAACGAATGCATGACGATGCATGACATGACAAAGCGCGATGCTAGGCGTGCCCTAACGCGGTACGAGGTGGTACCGGTGAAGGGGGAAAACATCCGGGAAAGTATTCCCGGTGTTTTGCGTTTTCGGACAGATGAACCGGAGGTGGAAATTTGCGTGTTTGCTATGCTAGGGATGTGTGGCGGACGAACGGGCTGCGAATCCAGATTCATCTCGTCGTTCTGAGCAACTTTCATGTACAAAGTTTTTTCATCCGAGTTACGGATTAAAAGATATGATTTTCTAAAGATTTAAATCATTTTCTGATTTTAATTAGTTATTTAATTCTAACATTATCCAAAACAGTGAATGATGATGCAGGCATGACATCAGAGTGATGTCAGCAGGTCAATTGGTCGGTTGACCAGTCAAACCAGACAGGTGGGTCCAGTGGGACCCACATGTCATTGTCTGGGCCACTAACAGTGGGTTTAGTCTAACTAATTTGGGTTAATTAGCAGGTGGGGCCCGTAGTCAGTGAGAGATTAGTGTTTAATTAATTAATTTAATTAATTAGCAAATTACCTATTTATTTTTATTCGTTGGTTAAGGTGGGGCCCATAGGTTAGTGAGACAGGGGCGGCCCAGTCAGCAGTTGACCCAGTCATCTGGTCAACAGGGAGCCCTGGGCCCACTAGTCAGTGGCCCAGGTGGTGGGACCTGCGGCGCCAGGTCAGCAGGGCCGGCTCTCGCCGTCGGCGACCAAAGGCACGGCGCAGACCCGCCGGAGTTCGCTGGAATTTGCGCATAGGGCACGGATCAGCGCGCGCATGGGTTCGTTCGAACGAGCGCGAAGAGGCGCATCTAGTGGCGTGGGCGGTTCGTCCTGAGGTCGCCGGAGCTGTCGCCGGCGTCGAGCTGAGCGGCGGCCAGAGCTCGGAATCCGCTGGAAAATGGCCATAGGCCATCATTTTGGACGCGGATGGCCGCGTTCGAACATGCACGAGCCGGCGTATCCAGCGGTGGCACTAGCACGACCAGAGATGGGCAAAGATGACGGTGGCGAGCAGCAAGGCGGACGGCGGAGTTCGGTCACCGTCGGGTTTGAAGTTACGGTGCGCTAAACAAGCAGCGTGAGGCGTCTACGGCATCTACTTGACGCGAGAAGCGGAACGGTGGCAGCACGGGACCAAATGGTCACCGTGGCCACGCCGGCGATGAGGCCAGGTGGCGACGCGTTTTGGTGAGCGTGGAACGGGCGCTACCAGTATTCAGAGAAGGCAGGGGAGGGCGCATCCGGCGCGGAGGCTCACCGGGGGAGCGTGGGGTCTGGCAGAGGGCTCGGGGAGGACCGGCGGCGTAGATCGAAGGCGAGGGCGACGCAGTGGCCGAGCCGGAGAAGAAGAAGAATGCGGCGGCGCGAGGGGGTTCGGGGCTCGATCCAACGACGTAGTGGAAGTAGAGGACCACGGCGGAGCTACAGGACTTGCCGGGGCAACAAACGGATGACGGTGGCCGCGTCTTCTACGGCGGCGAGTCCATGGCGGCGTTCAGCCGTGGTGGGGAACAAGGGGGAGAGTGAGGTGGATCTGAGGGGGGACGCTGGAACCGAGGCGAGAGTGGGGGCGAGTGGGAGGCGGGATCGAGGAGGCGGGGCGTGACGGCCTTATCCTTGCCTCGTCACCGACGAGAGGGTGCGGCGGGGATGCGCCCCTATTTCGACCCGGGTCGGGGGAACAGAGAAGGGAGACGAGGCAGGGGGGTTGGGCCGGCTGATGGCTATGGGCCAGGTGGGCCGGCCGGCCTGTGAGCTGGGCCGCCTGGTCCATGGGGGCTTCCCTTTTTGTTTTTTGTAATTTCTTTCTTTTATTTATTTTCTTTTCTGTTTTATTTCATTTTAAAGTATGTAGGCATTTTCTAAAAATGTGTTTACTTCACCATAATTACCAGTGCAATATTTGGCACTGACCGAACATTTTTGTTTCAACTTTCAAAAACTTTTGTTGTTTTCCATTTTTCTGAATTGATTTTTGAATCAGTTTGAACTAAGGAAAGTTTAGCAACAGTAATCACAGATGATATGGCATCATTAAGAGAGTTTACTGTAGCCTAATTACCCGGCCGTTACAATGAACATAGGAAATGTCATCTGACGATGAAAAAGATTTCATTATGTGCGAACATTGTGAAGACCAACGCGGCCTGTGCGACAGAAATTTCCTTGTTGATGATAGGCGCTTCAGCATCAAGCTGGATGAGACATTCGAAGTGGATACAGTAAGTCACAACGGCAAGTATTTTTTCGTAATAAAGCATGACTTATGCTTCGTTTGCTTCAACTTATAATTATAAATTTTCACTATTCTACTAGCGCATCCCCTGTCATGCAAGAATTTTTGTCTTGGATAAGATAGGTTTCAGTGCTATGGATAATATGGAGATAAAGAGAGTTTACTTGAAGACCGGGCATGGGTATACTTTCAACATTAAATTATACAATGCAGACACATACACCCATTTTGAATGCAAAACTTGGCAAGCACTATGCAAGGCTTATGCATTTGAGCCTGATATGGTTATCACCTTTGATATTCGTCCGGAAGATAATATTGAAGGTAATAGAGACATCTGGGTCGATGTGCAGACGCCTCCAGTTCTACCATTATGTGAGTTTTTCTCAACCATGTTTATGTCTTTGATATTGTTTATTCAAAAATAGTTGACAACTAATTTCTATTGTCAGCTTATTTCGGTTCAAGCAAACATGTCCGGCGCTTGGTAGACAGGACCTAGTACTGTCCCGGGGCTGAACTAAACTACGAGGAGATAAGTCATTATGTTTCATGGCTTGAGGATCTTCATACTGTCAAGACAAATTTTCTTCCTACACTTAGAAATGTTAGTACTCAAAACGTGCGACCAATAGTGATCGTATTGAACTACGGTCACATCTATAATGGAAAGATGGTAAGATTTTTACTATTTTTCCTTAGTGCATCTTTTGCATACATTATTTTTGAAGCTAAATTTTCATTGCTAAGTATATTAATTACTATACGATGTTCTTCAACAGGGACTCCTGATGACAGTTGTGCCTCAGTGGATCGAGACTAAAGGTCGCATGTCAATGGTTAGCTTACGACCAAGATATCCTACATTGCACATGAGTGCATTCAGGATTTCTGAAAGCGATGAATGCTTAATAGTGAAAGATTGGAGCAAAATTGTTAACGATCCCAAAGAAGTACTAGGGGGCGGCAAGGAGAAGCGCATCCCACGATTAGGAGACAGATTCATCTGCATGCTCCAGTATGATGAATCAGGAGAGCTATACATGTTCTATGCTATTTTACCTGAGAGGGAGCAGCAGGAGTGATTTAGCTAGTTCATGCTCTTAGTACTTGTCCTCTCATGTCCGTATTCTTCGTCCTGAACTTAATCTCAAAGAGTGATTTGCTTGTTATGAACGCTTATAATATCATGACCATGTTAAACTCGATGATATCTTTGCTTCTGGTACAAGTGAATGTTTCTTCTTTAAGCTAGTGTTGGTGGTGATTAGATAGCGGTAATGACTATGATGATTAAATAGTGGTAATGACGACTACGATGATTTTTAGCTAGCTAGTATACTGTTGTTGGTGATGATATAATGCAAGAGTTTATATATTAATATGTGATGATGGTGATGATGATGATGAGTTATTATATATATATATATATATATATCCTTTATGAAAGAAACCGCAAATTAGTTTGAACTGGATGGATCCTAGCTAAGTGATATATGCCATATCCATATTACTTGATCACTTAGGTGATCAAGTAATATGGATATATGGCATATACTTGATTACTCAGCTAGCTAGATCCACATGCATCCGGTCGAAACTAATCTGCGGTACTTTCACTTAATGATTTAACAACTTATTATAACGTAAAACAATCCTAAATTAAATTGATAACACAAATTTAAAGGAAAAATAAAAAATAAAACCAAAACCCACAAACATTTAGTACCGGTTGATGTTACCAACCGATACTAATGATCTACCGCACCCGTGGCCTGGCTCGTGCCACATGGTGGCACTTTAGTGCCGGTTCATGCCGAACCGGTACTAAGGGGGGGGGGGGCTTTAGTGCCCACCTTTTAGTGCCGGGCACTAAAGGCCTTTACGAACCGGGACTAAAGCCCGGTTCTGCACTAGTGTATAGTCGTACAGAGAGCACTACTGCTGTATGGCTGGGTCGAGGTCCATTGTGTGTTGGGGACCTCCTGCCTAGTGATTGTAACCCTATACCTTTGGAATAAAACTCTTCTACCTATGCAAAAAAAAAGCTCTCCTTTTTGCCATTTTTCTATGGTTGTGTGCCCTTCAACATTGAAGTACCCTTACTTGTCTTGCCACTTCAATATCTTCGTTGTGATTATGACCACGTGACACATGTGGTAAACAATTCAAAAAATATATACTTCCTTGTGATTATGGTTTTTAAAAAACAAAAAATTAATTACAGCAGCCACCAAATCGAATTGGGGATACACAAGCTAAGTCCTGGCCAAAAATTTACACCGGCTTTGGTTTATCACCTATCTTTACAAGAAAATCGTCTTTGCTGATTTATTCGCCACCCATCCTTCAATTTCCTTCTTTAGTCTACTCTGCAACTCATGCGCTCCCCTTGGAAAGACAACACACACTTGTTCAAGAACCATCGCATTACAAAGCAACAACTTGGCTACATATCTGTGTGCCTCGTCGCCCTGGTAGTGCACTAGGTTGATCCGCTTCACCCGATTCTGCAAGCACGTGATCGAAACATCCAGAGTCGTGCTTCCAAGACTTGCACCTGGCTCATTGCTGAGCTCGTCACGGAATCTCCCCTCATGACTCGGTTTCATGAATAGAGACAGAATCTCAATGCTCGGAGCAACTTGGAGTAACCTAGTCACCGCCTTGATGCTGCGTCCTCCAAGGTATCCTGTCAGCCCAAGCCGCACGAGACATGGAAAGTAGGGAAATCCCGAGAAAACCTCATTGCCGATGCCTGAGCCGAGATGTGTAGACATCAGATGCAGATGTCTTGTGCTCGTAAACCGCTGGAGGAACTCTCTGAAGAGGGGCAACTGCCCCTTGTAAACTTTCCTATCGCAGAAGCCGATGGTGCACGAAGAGATCTTGTGTGTGCCATGCAGGGCCAGGAGCGACTCTGGCGGCACGGCGCCCCTGTACTCGAACGTCATCAGCTCCGAGGCGTCGATGCTGACTCGGACCAGGTTGTGGCAGCACCGTAGGGAGAGTCTTCGGAGGCTCTTGTCGAGGACGGTGATGGTGAAATTTTTGTCAGGAAGAGGGTCTCTGTAATATGTGTTTGTGTGGCCGCACCTCTCCAGGGTGAGATCAACGAGGCGCGGGCAACCGGAGATGAGGCGTTGGATGTTGTCGCCGGTGCTCCCGATGGTGCTTAGGTGCAACGTCTCAAGGAACGGTAGCTCGATGAGCTTCGGCGGCTCCAACGTGCAGGCGCCGAGGCGGAGCGTCCGTACGGCTACGCACGAGAAGAGCCTTGGTGGAAGCGTGTACGTAGATGGGCCGTAGGATTGGTAGGAGTGGCTCGAGGGACACCTGTCACCGGCCGGGACGTCGGCGTCGGGTTCGTAGCAGTCGCCGTCGCCTTCGCCGTTGTAGGGTTCCTTGACGTGGTGTTCTCGGAGCTCGGTGTGCTGGAGGCGCAGGTCGAGGTGGAGCTCGGGCGAGCTCCGGTTGAGCACGTAGTAGAGCCACCGGTTCAGCATGGCCCCGTCCCACCAGTCATAGCAGCCGAAGTTGACGCGGAAGGTGCGCGGCGCCGTGCCAGCGCCGCAGCGCCGGCGGCTGAGGAGCGCGGCGTTGACCTCGTCGATGAAGGAGCCGTTCTGGCTGCGCTTCTCCACGGCTTCCCAGGCGAAACTGTGGTCGTTGTCGTCGTGGACCTCGTGCTGCACGAAGGACATGGTGTCAAGGCCGGCGAACGCGTGGCGCCAGCGCCTGCCGAGCACGGCGGCACGGCCAGCCTCTTTTATCGGGAGGTACGAGAGGATGCTGCCGAGGACGCCCTCCGGGAGGTCGCTCAGGCGGTCTTTGCCACACCGGTGATTCGTCAGCGCAGCCATCGCGTTGCAGGGCCGTTGATTCTCACCTCTTGTGGGAATATATGTACTACGACCCCTTGTTCCTGTTCCTGAGTCGGTTATGTTTCTAGTCCGATACAAACAACGATTCCTGCTCTTTCGTAGTTTGCCACAAATCACAAAACACCGGTGCTTACCTTT